ATATATATATAAAAAAAATTAAAAAAAAATAATAAAAAGTGTTCAATTAACCACTATTCGATACGATCTATGTAGCTCCGCCACTGGTCAAATGCCTTTGCATGATAAAATCTACTTACATTGTGTGTCAATGGGCGTGCATGTCTTTTCGCCATCGCCTATGCTTTGGTTTCAAAACTACCAACTTTGTCTCTAATTTATTCGCAATTCATAGAATTTTATGAAAAAAAAGGTAATTTAGTTTAATAAAACATATATAATAAGGAGCAAAATTTAATGATTCTAAATTTTTTATTTAGGTGTGTGTGGTAGGAAAGAAAAAATATTCTTTTTGAAAATATTATCTTAAGTGTATCTATATATAGTCTAGATAAATATTATGGAAGAGGTATGGGTTTACTGAGCCGGGATAGGTGAAGATGAGATGTGTTAGAGAGTGGGAAAGATATAATCAATATTGAATGTCACTTGTGAAACTTATTTTCCCTACTTTTTTTCGACAAGGAAGGTCATTTTCCTCTTCTTCTTTTTTTTGAAGAAACTTATTTTCCTAGAGAAAATGTTTTTCAAAAATTTTGACCAACGAACATAGAAAATTTGAAAAACTTGTTACTATGTATCAAACACACCCTTAAAAATAAATATGTTTTTGTTTCTCATATGTTGTCCAATGTCCACATTTGAACCAAACTAATTTGAATTCATGCATTGCATGATCCATTCTAGGGGTGACGCTCCTATTAATTGATTTTTTTTTATTTTCAGAACTTGAACCCGAAATCTCTGATTAAATAGAGAGGAAATTCAAACTATCCCACCTAAATCCATCTCGATTTACACAACTTTTGCATGCAAAATTGAACCATTCAAATTTTCATTTGGATTCATGAACTCTTTAATTTTCCTTAATGGTACTGCTTTATATTTTCACTCTTCTTCTTTCTTTTTCCATTTTTCTCAGCCCCTTCCTTCAATATTATTAATTAAATTACAAGAGGAAGCAATCAAAAAGTGAAAAAAGTGGGGTCTAAACAATTTAAATAATTAATTAATTAAATATTTTCTTTCTTGTTTTCCTCATCAGTCTCTCTCTTGTTTTTTCATAATATTATCACATTTACGTAAACCACAATTCACATCTCCTTCTTCTAATTGATTCTTTTTTTATGCATAAGCAAAGGAGTTAGTACTAATTATTAATATTGTGATTATTCCAACTAATATTGTTCTTTTTACTAACATAATAATCATTGCAACGTGTCAGAAAACAATAGCTCAAAGGGCCCATAAAATAAAAAGTGAAACACATGAATGATTTATTAATAGATTAAAAAAGGAGGAAAAAGAAGCTAAAGTGAATAGTGATTGCTTTTAAGTTCATTTTTTTGACCAATATACAATAATTGTATATTTGGATTTTCAAAGAGAGACAAATTAAATGGCGTTGTCACAATACAAAACTTTTCGTGCACAATCAAAGATTTGACAAAATGTGAACAAATCTACAAAAAGCCCACTTTCTTTTCTTGATTCCTCTTTTCCCTCTATGAGAATGAGGAAAATGATGTGAAGTCAAGAAGGTGAGTTTTAAATTAGAGTAAATTTTAGGTTTTGGCAAATATAAAAATCATATTTGTATGTTATAGTTATAGTTTGCATAAATGTGCTTCATAACAAATTTGATGTTTGCTATGGAGCATCAGATTTGTATAAATCGTAGGCAGACATTTGTTTGTATAAAAGTCCAGCGATTGTATATGTATATCAGTTAGATAATTGTATATATGTAACTACTATGTATATGTATCAATGATTGTATTTGTATATCTGCATAAAATTTGAATTTGTATATAATTGAATCAAAATAAAACATTTGTATATCAAATCTCTCTCTCGCTCTATACAACACAAATTATACATTGTAATTTGTATAATTTGTGTTTGTATAAAGCGAGAAAGAGAGAAAGGCAAAAGAGAACTGATAGGAGAAGATCTGTATTTGTATCATTATAAGTGTATAGAACGAAAATATATGTATTGTATATACAGTTTCCTCTCACTTTATACAAACATAAACGCAATTTATACAATGTGTTTGTATAAAGTGAGAGAGGTGGGGGAGTGGCGAGCGAGATCAGAGAGAGTGGCGAGCGAGATTCTCTGGGGAGAGAGGCGAATGACAAGTGTTTGCTACAAATTACAATTAAATGAACCTGTGTTTATAACATTTAATTTGAATTAATAATTTGCTATTTTATACAATTTTTCCAAAAGAAAATGATCTAACTAATATGAATCAGAGAGAGTATTACTTTCAATTTTCTTTACTTTTGGTCCAAAATATCATACAAATGCAAACAACTCTATAAAATATAAACTCAAATAAATCAAAGAAAATAGGGAAAATTGTATGAAATAGCAAACTATTAATTCAAATTAAATGCTATAGCCATAGTTTATTTTATTTGTAATTCGCAACAAACATCTCATTTTTTGCCATCTGATTCGGTATACAATTAGCCATTTTCGATATATAATCACCCATTCGGTATACAAATGTATAAAATGTGTTTGTGTTTGTATAAAACGAGAGAAAAGTGTATATATAAATACAAATACATATATTTTCGTCCTATACACTTATAATTATACAAATACAGATCTTATTATACAAATTACAATGTATAAATGAGTTTATATAAAACTGAACAATTTGTATAAAATTGGATGTATCTAGCGAATTATACAAATCAAAAGCTTCATAGCAAACATAAAATTTGCTATGGAGCGCAATTATGCAAACTATAGCTATAACATACAAATATGATTTTTATGTTTGCTATATGTGAAAGTTGCTCAAGAAAATAAGGCAATATGGACCAAATCAAAAGCCTAATATGATCTATATATAATAAATCAAAACAAATAAAGACAACCGCCTAATGGTCATCCTCAGGGGCGGACCCACCCTTGGCCCAGGCGATATCCCTTCGCCGGAAAATTACATTGAATATAAACGTCAAATTTTGATTTAATAAATATATATATAAAAGTATTGACACATCTTGACACAAGTAAAAGGTTTATTCTAGTGGCTAAGGTGTTGCAAAAGTTCCTTAAAGTTGTGTGTTCACATTTTGTTAGCCTCATAATTCTTTTTTATTTTTTTACTACAACCATTGACACCCCTTTATTATCTACGAACAAAATAGCAACGGACCAACGACAAAGTTCGTAACTAAATCCAGTGTTTTTTAAAACCACTACTAAAAAACCTACAGACTTTTTTTCCCCGCAAATTTATCACTAGATAGTGTCTAGTGGCCTTTTATTAAACATAAAAAATATCAATAGGGATAAGTGCAAGCAAGGGGGGCTAAGTCTTACCCTACTAATCCTAAGGAAGTGTCTACTACCTAACAAGCATGAAGAAAATAAGAGCTAGAGAGAACTAAATATTTTCTGATCACCACAGAGTTAACTTTTTCTATATATGATATATGATGAACTTTTTGTAAATGAAGAACTTGGTAGCTAAATCCAGTGTTTTTCGTATCATATTCTTATCATATATGATGAACTCTTTCTAAATTAGTCTAAAAGTTGTATACTTTGCATTTCAAGATATTAATATTACATTTTAAACAACAAGGTATGTAGACAATTTTTGGATAATGGACAGGTCTAGCTAGCATCATATGAATTAAATTTGAGAACATACTTCTTACTTTGTATTGATATTTTACTAAATCAATGTGGTGGTCAATTTTTATCACCCTTTATAAATATGTATGTATGTATATATTTGAAATATTTTTTTTATATTTTTCATCTGGTGTTGGAGTTCACATTGAAGTCCTAACTAAATTCGAAACACGCACTGTAAGGCCTATTTGGGGATGACGCTCCCAACAAGATTCTCCATACTCAGGACTTGAACTCGAGACCGCTTGTTAAGGGTGGAGCAGTTCCACCACCGCGCGCACCAAACCTCCTCCCCTATGATGGAAAAATGTTAGTGGACAATTCCCATTCAAAGATCATGTATTATACATGATCATTTGAATTCTTGAAAATTTATCACCACATTCCAAACCCTATCATCTTTCTTTTATAAAAATATTATAATAATAATTATTATATTTTCTCTTATCTTTATGTACACGTGTGGATTTATATATTGTTGTTTTTGGTTATTCATTGAGTGGGGCTATGCCGGCAGGGGGTATAGGGAAGATTATGTGAAGTGGAAGCAAATATATATCATAATATTAGACTTGGTTACAAAACAAACTTTCCATTTTAATTTCATGCACTTATAGAGTTGTATAAAAAAGATATACTAATTCTTATAATATACATATTTTAGTATCCCTTCAACTTTTAAACATTAACTTACTTGTGAAGAAATATGCATAGAGGAAAAAGACAATATATGGAGTCAAAGACAAGAAGACCATCTATCCTTTTCCAAACCGTTTTCACCTAGACTTATCAACCAACACCACCCTACCCCCTTTACCCCCACCCCCTCAAAGGTAAATACATTGTACATTTGTACTCCAAACGAGTTCAATTGAATTCAGTATTTTTACATAGTATATATTTTTCCAAGTTTTGATAAAATCTCAAATAAATTCCAAAAATTGAAACATGATATTTGAAAAGTGTAAGAAAATCAACGATAAAAATATAAAATACTGAATCGATCAAATTTAAATTCTGAATCAGGTTTTACTCACCCCCACCCCCACCCCCACCTATGTTTCATTCCTTATACCCTCTCTATTCTCTTGATTCCCCATTTCTAAGCAAAGCCCCACAACCATCACTATCATCATGATCATGATTTTCATTCCATAGAAGTTTCACTCTCTCTCTCTCTCTTCCTCTTATTTTTCTCATTTTTTTTCAATTTTAAATATATTTGAGGTTGATGGTGCTCATCAATATAAAGTTAGTGACTTCTTTTTACATCAAAACAGTTGGGGAGACAAGAAGAAAAAAAAGAGTGTCTAAAAACCAAAAGAAAGAAAGATTACAATGAGGAAGCCTGAGTTCTCCTCCTCCTCTTCCTCCTCCACAAAGAACAGTAACAACAACAATAATAATAACACAAACGTGAAGCTAAGAAAAGGGTTGTGGTCTCCAGAGGAAGATGAGAAGCTTATGCATTATATGCTAACAAATGGACAAGGGTGTTGGAGTGATGTAGCAAGAAATGCAGGATTACAAAGATGTGGAAAGAGTTGTAGACTCAGATGGATTAATTATTTGAGGCCAGATCTTAAGAGAGGTGCATTTTCACCTCAAGAAGAAGAACATATTATACATTTACATTCCATTCTTGGTAACAGGTTTGTCTCTCTCTCTTCTTTCGAGTCAGAATTTTCGTTAAGAAAATACAAAGTATAAAGAAATGTTAACACAACATAAAAAAAGTTATGAGATATGTGTTGTGATGTGTATATATGTGCATGTAGGTCAGTAGTATTCTTTTGGAAGGGTTTTAATTTTATATATATCGATGATATAAAAAATATTTATATAATCAGATAATTTATTTAATATTTACAGGTAAAATTCTTGATAATATTAATTGACCATTTGATAAAAATGTTTAACTAACATTTCATTACTAGGTAAATATAGTATAATTATAGTGAAAAATATGTATATAACTTAAATCTTTTTTTTTTTGGTTGAGTTCAACTTGTGTACTCTCATCAGGAGTGTAAAAGAATTTAAAGTTTTATATACTATTATTAAAATGTAAATAATATTTCACACTATTCGATCAATTAAAAAATATTTACAAGTAAGCTTCTTTAGAATATGAAATTTAATATTTTGAAAATGTAATATATTACTTGCTAAAACAGGTAAAAATAATGTGATGATGTTGTTATTAGCATTATTAGTGTATTTGAATTAAGTATATGTAGTTGTCCACTTAGAAAAAAATGAAATTAGCAACTTGAAAATAAAACAGGTCACTTGCAACTATAATAAATTGAAATATGTATTGATGGTGTTAAAAATATTTAGGCAATTAGTATATATAAATTAAATCAATCTTTTTTTAGCGGATAATTTCTTCGATATTCTATATGCAAAAGCAAAATCATAATTTTGAAATATCATAATAAATTTGAAAATTTTAGATGAAAATTGTATTTTGAGTGAATACCTTGAAGATTAAAAAAAAGGTATATCTCCAATATCTACCTTTATAAACTACTAGTCTATCTACATGAAATAAATAGGGACATATATAATTCCTACGATAAAAATACCTAATACATAAAAGAAATCATTTTTGTCATGGATTTTAAGGAATTATTACATTATAAATATTATACTTTAATTTGTTATAACTACATATATGTAAAAAAATGAATTAAGGAAACAATTAGTAGTATCTCTAAATGTTAGTAATTAATTAGTAGTTAGTTATATTAAGGGGACAACACAGTGAAATTACAGGTAATTTTCAATGGCTAACATGATAAAGCTAATTATGATGTTATTGACTTCAACAACTTACATGATTTATTAACATGCATATCTTCACTTATACGTTTTCAAATTCAATGAACTAATTAACAATATTCACCAAATTAAATAACGAGAAATCAACCCAAGCTGAATTGATATTTTATATGATAACTGAACTAATAGTTATCATCTCAAAAACGTCATATTTCTTCTTAATTTCGATTTTCTTCAACAAAAAATATATGATTTTTTTAAAGAGAATTAATAACTATTGGACAAAAAAAAACCTATTAAATTGGTGAATACACATTTTTTTTGTTTCCACAATAAAGGTTGGGAAAAACTCCTATAAATATATACAACGAATGGGATGGCTTGGAGAAATTTTTTACAACTCAAAATATATTACTTATTATCTATTTTAAATTAATAGTGTGTTATTTTTTGTGTGCATTATCTGTACATATAAATTAAACTCTTCTATTATAGATAAAATAAAATCCAAATTATAATATTAACAAGCAAGAGATCACATTAATTAAGTGCACTTAGTTCTTCTTAGTCAAAAGGGCAAAGTTTAATATAATATTGATCAAGTAAATTAATATATAACATCATTGTCTTAGAGTTGAAAATGCTCTTCTTATTCCCCAATCTTCATTTTTACAAGAATATTTTTTTTCCAAGTAGATCATCATATTATACAAGCATGTTTCACATGACTTTCACATTCTCCCAATTTGACCAAGTAATTTTTACATTACATTTATACATAAATAGTGTATATTTGTTTTTGTACATGGGCTAGCAAACGTAATTATTTTTGTTCGAGCTGCCAAATGTGTTAAAAGCCCTTTGACCTATAAATATTGACTCTTAATTTATTTTTTACTCCAAAGGTGGTCTCAAATAGCTGCACGTTTGCCTGGACGTACTGATAATGAAATCAAGAATTTCTGGAATTCGACGTTGAAAAAGAGGCTAAAGAACTCATCATCATCCTCTACACCATCACCAAATGCAAGTGATTCATCCTCAGATCATCCCTCCAAAGAACTCAACATGGGAGTCACTCAACAAGGATTCATGCCAATGCTCAAACATAACCTAATGTCCATGTACATGGACTCAACCTCGCCTTCTTCCCCATCTATAGCCCTAAACACCATAAATATTGATCCTTTGCCCACCCTCGAGCACACCTTAATAAGCATACCTAATGGTTTTAACGTGCCCTCATTCTTGAGTACTACACAACCATGCATGGTACAAGGAGGGAATAGTGTGAGTACTAATGGTGGAAGTCTCTTTTATGGGAATAATCATGGGATATTTGGAGGAAATCTTAGTATGGAAGGTCATGAGCTATATGTTCCACCATTGGAGAATGTAAGTATTGAGTATCAAAATGTTGAAAATGGGAATTTTAGTCATCATCAAAACAACAATAACCCTAACAACATGACCAACTTGATCAACACTAGCCATAATTTCAATACTTGTAGTAATATCAAAGTAGAAAATTTTGGAGGGATAGGGAATTATTGGGAAGGAGATGATGTAAAAGTGGGAGAGTGGGACTTGGAGGAATTGATGAAGGATGTTTCACCTTTCCCTTTTCTTGATTTCCAAGTTGAATAACCCTACAACAACATTTAATATCCCTATGGAGATCAAGACCTTTTCTTTTTTTTCCTTTTTCAACATTAGGCCACATATTTTCAATCCTATACATATAGTTCATATATAAATTTGGACATGAAATAGAAGATGAGAGGGTAAAGAATCTCACAAAAATAAGGATAATTTCCAAGTAGATATATATATATTTTTTATATTTTAGGATATTTTTCATGTACTTTAAATGATGTAATTGGAAAAAGGGTAATTTGGTCATTTGTACTTCATTTAGGTGTTTGTAATAATCACAATTTTACATACTCTTGCAGAGATATGTATAGTCGGTCACATGTGATAATGTAGAAATTAGTGATTGTCTATTAGTCTTATTGTGTACAAAATCATTGAAAATGTAATCAAATATGTTTTTTAATTAGTGGATTGAACAAGTCTTATAGACAAATAATTATCTCTATGTCTTTCTATTCATGCTTGAAAAATGATCCTATCGGTCTCCTACTTTTAATGGACATTTTTACAAGTCATTCGTGTATCATACTTTCTTCTTCGTTCATTTTTACTTGTTCAGTCTGGATTTTGCACATCTTTTAAAAAATAATTTGAGAAAAAGTAATTAAATTTGTGAGGGAAAATGAAAAAAAAAATTGTTTCTCTTGATATGTTAAACCATGAAAATTATATTTTTAATATTATGAACAAGTAAAGTAAACGGAGGGAGCATTTGTTTGTTTGTCTATGCATTGCTTCAGTGCTTGCATGCTTTGAGTATTATTATGACTAATTAAGGGTTATTATGAATACTCCCTCGTTCACTTTTATTTATTCAGTAAAAATACATTTTCATTTTTGCTTGTCTTTTGTCAAGAAAAGACTTCATATTTTATCTTCAATAGTATTAATTACTTATTTTCCAAATTATTTCTGAAGACAAACTATACATCAATTAATATCGATATTATGGCAACATACTCATAGTAATCATTATTTCTTAAAGAACATATAAAGTTTAAAGTGGACAAGTAAAAATGAACGGAGAGAATATTAATCAAGGATTATGGATATGACACGCAAGTAATTAATCTTCCCCTTAAATGGAGTTTAATCTCTAAAGTGATTATAAGTCCACTTGGAATATGAAGTTTCCCCATAAGAGAGTGAAAAGTCAGCTTGGCTCTAATTGTCATTAGGACTTTGTAATCATAACATTAATTACTACTTAACCTTAATGGTTGAATTCAAAGAACAATGATAGCTTTATTAACTTTTCCACTGATCACTTCTAAAGGTTGCAACATATATATTCATTCTCGATAGGGAAGTTAATCAGTGCAAAATGAAATTATGGCCAGGGTAATAAAAAAACTTATCACAATAATTAAAATATGAGTTGTAGTGAAATAATTAGACTTTTGAGGTTTTGTATTCAAGCTCTTCGGAATGGAAAAAAATCAATATATATAGGAGTGTTGCTTGAGTCGGGGGTCTATAGGAAAGAACCTCTAGCTCTATCTCCCAAACCAGAGGTAAGATCTGCATATACTCTATCCTCCTCAGATTTTATTTATAGGATTTCACTGGGTATATTGTTTTTATTGCAACTCCATTTCCATGCATGTTGGGTTGCAAGTGACACTACAACAAAAGAGACATTTAGTGGTAAAAGATTTTTCTTTTAGCTGTAATATTTATTTGCACAAAAATATTTAGCGGTAATTGAGTTAATATCATTACATCCAGAGTCACCAAAGTCTTTAGTAACATTTATATAGAATGTTGATTATAAACACACATATTTAGACAAGAGAGAGTTATTCGGATGGTAAGCATCCCTTACTTTCAATTTTAAGGTTGTCAGTTCGAATCACGAAGAGAGCAAACGTGGAAGCTCCTAGGGAAAGGGGTAAAAGAAAATACACATATTTATTAGGTATGATACATAAATGTGCCATTTAATTAACTTGGCCTCATTTCACATTTATGCCCTTCAACTTTGGGTGTGCACAAGTAGACACTTAAACCTATATAAAGTTGAACAAGTAAACACATGAATCCTATGTGACATAATACACGTAGGACATTAATTGTCATACAGGATGCCACGTACAGTGGCATAGCTAGAGCCACCCTAGGGTGTCCAACTGGAAACCTTAGTCGGACAATTATGTTGTATATATATGTTAAATTCTACATTTAACGGATATATATATTTAAAGTTGGATATCCTTGACAAAAACTATACTTTTGGCGTGTGTTCATTTGAATGAAGAAGTTTCAGGTTCATACCCAAATAGCACAATATTTTTTTGTTTTATTTTGACAGCCACACACCATCATTCTTGGACACCCTTAGTAAAAATGTTGGCTCCACCACTGGCCAAGTAGGACACGTATGTCTATTTGTTCAATTTTCTACAAGTTTAAGTGTCTACTTGTGCAAATTAACTTAAAGTTGAAAGATATAAAAATGAAACGAGACCAAGTTAAAAAGTATATTTATATATTATGCCTATTTATTATTACTACTAAAGGTCTAAGATGGATTTTTTTTTTGTTTAGGTTAGGAGACAAAGTGATTTGTGTATAGTTAAAAGCTAATTAATTAGCTACAGGATTAAAATAAGTGCTTCCCTAAATCATTTCACCTCAAGATTTATGACATTCCATAACTAACTAATGTGACTTTAATATAGGTATTTGTCTGGAAGATTGTTTGATTACGTAAATTGTGCATTGCAATGAGGTCAGCTTTAATTCCATAACTATCAAAACTTTTTATTCACATTTTTTTTTTTTTAGATATGTGGGAATTGTTAAATAAAATCTAATATATATTATTATAAAAGAAAATAATTATCTTTGAATATCATTCAATGGCTACTTTATATTATAAAATGTTGGGAAGTTTTCAATTCTTTGGACCCTCTTCATAGCCACTAAACCTTCTTTAATATTAGTCATTAACCTTTCGTAACATATGACACATGATTATGAAAATTAATTTGTCAACAATATTATTTGACTATAAAGTTGAGATTATTCTTCCTATACATATATATGAGCACATTATTTTCTTTGAGAGATACTTGAAAAAGAAATATTCTTCATACTTTTTGAGTTGTTGGATTTTTCATCAATCGAAATTTTTTGTTAAATTTTGACTCTTAATTTTATACTAGAATAATTTACTGAATTCTGAAAAATACGTCTAAAATATCAATGAAATATCCTTATGGACATGAGTGTCTTTGATATGGTGCTACGAGAGTATTCATGATTTTTAAATTTTTTTAACACTTTTAATTTGGAAGTTTCTCACATATGATATAGTATATATGATATGATATTGTCTTGAGATTATAATATAAAACTCATAAATTTCAAATTTTGAATCAATATCTGATAATAAAATATTGTAAGCCGACCAATCACCATTTTCTCCCCATTTCTTTCTCACTCCCCAAAAGAAAGATATTGAATTTATTTAATTGTAACAGTCCAAGTAGTATTTGTTACCTTGTTGTAACTAATAAGTTTTATGTTTTGTCAACAAAATTTATTCACTACAATAATTAAGTTTAGTTTCCTTAAGAAGTCTTAATCCACCTGAAGTGTGTATTTCAAATGATAAGTCCAAGACATCAGTTTCAGAGAAAAGGAAATAAAAAACAAGAGAATCATATATTTATTTTAACTACTCTTAGATTTGAGGATTTGACGAACCACTTCAAAAAAAAGATTCTCAAAAAAATCATTTTATCCACCAAACAAAGAATTAAATTAAAAAGTCATATGCACGCATGGTACATCTCTCATCTCTTGAGTAGCTTTTGGTTTCATTTTCACTGATTGATTTTTATATTATATAAGTGTATTTTAACTTGTTTAGGTTAGTAACTTTTCATTTTTATCGAAAAAAGGTCACGTATTATTTATAAATTTTTAGGTAATTTGATAGTGTAGATATATATTATTATTTTTACATCAAAGTTATATATATTTCACATGATTAGAAATCCAAATTAATTTTATTACTACCAATCAAATAATTAATTGAAAATGCATACACAATAGACATGTTTCTCATGTAGCTTTCACTTTCATTGATTTTTAACAATTTCCCAACTTTCAATTCACTCAAATTTTTTATAAATATTTCACATGATCAAAATTCCAAATTAATTTTATTACCTACCAATCAAAGAATTAATGAAAATGCATGCACAATAGTACATGTTTCTCATGTAGTTATTACCTACCAATCAAACAGATTCTTTATTTAAGTCTTAAGTAATGTGTTCATTTTCTTTTATTTTGGCAATTTAAGTTACAACATTACCTTGTTTTTAATTGTTTATATGTTACAATGTCATTTTCACTAGAAATATGTTTGTTCAATTATATTAGATGATAGTTCTTTTTTTCTATATGCAATTTTTAGTTTAATAGTTTGACATTGCATTATTTTAAATTTAAGAATTTATAAAGATGCACAATAACTATCCCATCAAATGGTACTGCATATATATAAAAGATTTTATTTGACTTTTAGCTAATTGTTAAGAATTAAGGATGCACAATAACTATTGCAGAGAACTAATAACAACATAAACTAATAATAGTCTATGCATATTTTATATCTCTACGGAATGAGAGAGATAGAGAGGTTGTTTTCGAAAAACTCTGGATTTAAGTGCAGCAAATCAAAATATATATCCAAAAGAAATACGACAGTGAAAAAAACATGTCAATTAATAAAGAAGGCATTATAGAGCATTCAGAGAAAAGAAACAGTAAGAACAACGAGATAAGGTGATAACTGAAAAGAAAATATATGTACAAGACTAATACTACAATGGACAGTGCTCCTGTGCTCCCACCAAGCTTAAATTCGTCGAAAAGCGAGTCTAAGCTCAACTACCTACTAATCTAATCTTCTACCTTAATTCGCTACCCTCCCCACTTCATACCCTCCTATCTAAGGTTATGTCCTCGATAATTAAGCTGAAGTTGTGTCATGTCTTGTCGAATCACATTTTCCCAATACAATTATTAGCCTACCTCTACATCTCCTCACACCTACTAATCCAATCTCTCACACCTCGTTATTGATGCATAAATCTCCTCTTCACATGTCCAAATCATCTTAGTCTCACTTCCCTCATCTTGTCTACCACAGAGGTTACCCCCAAATTATTTCGGATATCCTTATTTCTAATTCTATCTCTACTAGTATGTCCATACATCTATCTGATCATCTTCATTTCTGCGACATGCATCTTCTGAACAAGGACTTTCCTGATTGACCAGCGGTACTCCAGCCCATAGATACAACAAAGTTGGTGTAATCCCACTTTGTTAGAACTTACTTACCTTTAAGCTCTAGTAATATTTTT